AGCATGGCTTCACCAAAGGCAAGCCTTGCCTGACCAACCTTGTACCCTTCTGTGATGGAGTGACTACATAAATGGACAAGGGAAGAGCTATGAATGTTGTCTATCTGGACTTTTGCAACGCCTTTGACTCAGTCCCCACAACATCATTCTTTCTAAATTGGGGAGATATGGATTTAATGGGTGAGCTGTTGAGTGGATGAAGAATTGGTTGGATGGTTGCATGCAGAGGGTTGTGGTCAGCTTCTCAATGTGCAGATGGAGGTCGGTGACAAGTGTTGTCCCTCAGGGGTCAGTACTTGGACCAGAGTTTTTTAATATCTTCGTCAATGACATGATCAATAGAATCAAGTGCCCCCATAGCAAGTTTGCAGATGTCACCTAGCTGAGTGGTGCAGTTGACAGGCCCAAGGGATGGAATGTCATCCAGAGGCACCTGGACAAGCTTGAGAAGTGGGCCTGTGTAAACCTCATGAAGTTCAGCAAGGCCAAGTGCAAGGTCCTGCCCTTGGGTAGAGGCAGTCCTTGGAATCAGTATGGGCTGGGGGATGAAGGGATTGAGAGCAGCCCTGTGGAGAAGGACTTGGGGGTACTGGTGGGTGGAAAGCTGGACATGAGCCAGCTATGTACACTTGTAGCCCAGAAAGCCAACTGTACCCTGGGCTGCATCTGAAGCAACATGGCCAGCAGGTTGAGGGAGAGAGATGATTCTGCTGCTTCACTGCACTCTGGTGAGACCTGGCCTGCAGTGCTGGGTCCAGCTCTGGAGCCCTCAGCACATGAGAGATAGGGACCTGCTGGAGCGGGGCCAGAGGAGGCTACAGAAATTATCTGAGTGCTGGAACACCTCTCCTACAGGGACAGGCTTAGTTGGGGTTGTTCATCCTGGAGAAGAGAAGGCTCCAGGGAGGCCTTGTTGCAGCTGTTCAGTACTTCAAGGGGCCTGTCAGAAGGATTGGGACAGACTTCTTAGCATGACCTGTTGGGACAGGACAAGGGGTGATGGTTTCAAACTAAAGGAGGGAGATTCAGACTGGAGAGAAGGAAGACATTTTTGACACTGAGGGTGGTGAGCCCCTGGCCCAGGCTGCCCAGAGAGGTGGTCGCTGCCCCATCCCTGGAACCATCCCAGGGGAGGTTGGCCGGGGCTCTGAGCACCCTGCTCTAGCTGGGGATGTCCCTGCTCCCTGCAGGGGGGTGGACTCGATGGCCTTGAAAGGTCCCTTCCAACTCAAAGCATTCTGTGATTTTATGATTCTGTCATGTATTTGGGTTTTTTTAAGAACCAACCTGTAATCTGCAGATAATAATGCAATGTTTCAGCCTTTCTGGTTTGTGAGGGTTTTTTTTCCACAGCTGTCTGACACTGCTGCTCTCAAGTCTTCTGAGATCAGCTTGCTTGAGCTGACAAGTCGAGTCCAGTGCAGCTCTATGGTATTCTAATAGTGATTGTGTTTATCTTCTGCTACACTGGGCAGACTTCTCAGAAGATAAATTAGTAGCCAAATTCCTCTTGTCCTGAGGAGCCAGATGGGCTCTTTGGCCAGCGTTCCAGATACTGGTGCAGCTATGTGAACAAAATTTGCATAGCTCCCATTGTTTATTTGCACCAGCTAGGAAGAGATTTGGTCTCTGAAGCCAGCGTTGTGGTCTTTGCCTGTGTAAATGTTGGCAAGCATTAATGTGCTCAGCCTGATCTGAGAGGAGCACTGATTCTGCCCATGTGCTTGCTCTCCTGAAGGCAAAGGAGCTCCATGAAATGGACGCCACATCCAGTCGCGTCTGGATCCTCACCAGTACGCTCTCAACGAGTAAAGTTGTGATTATTGATGCCAATCAGCCTGGCACAGTGGTGGACCAGTTCACTGTCTGCAATGCTCATGTGCTCTGCATCTCCAGTATCCCTGGTAAGTGGGGCCCAGGCGCTGTCTGTGATCTGCACAGGATCACCTGCTCCACTGAGGAGTGACCAATGCAGCATCCTAACTTCAGAACTAACCCTTGGACCCTGCTGCATTCTGTAGCTGTCCCTCAGAACCGTTAACTCAGATCTTGCCTTCTTGTAGGACTTTTCTGTGGAGGTCCCTTACTGTTGAACGCTCAGTAAGTGGTTCCTTTGGCACATAAAGGATGGTTCTTGGGAGCAAGAGTGAGTCTTGCCTGGGTTTGGGAGGGCTCTGTCGCTGGCCTGGATGTTGACACTAGGGATGAGGGGATTCACCATGATGTTGACTGATGCTGTGGTGCCTCCCTAGGGTCAGCATCTTCCATCCATATGACTACTTCAGGAGTCATTTAAATGAGCAGTGGCAGCTAGATTTATGGGAGAATCTGTTCTTTGCCCTCCAGCGGCCAGTGAGAGTGATTATCCTCCAGGCGAGATCTTCCTGGAGGGAGATGTAAATCCCGAGGAGTCGTCTGGAACAGATGGTGTCTTGGCAGGGATCACTCTGGTGGGCTGTGCGACCCGCTGCAACGTGCCGCGAAGCAACTGCTCCTCGCGCGGGGACACGCCTGTGCTGGACAAGGGACAGAGTGAGTTCTGGGACATCACACCTAAGGGCAGTCCAATTACAGCTAGTCCCATAGGAGCTTATGGTCTTACAGCTGCATCTTCCTATCCCTGAGTTAACTACTTCAGAGGCCTCAAGAAGTTTCTTAATTTTGTACAGAAATATCAAAGGCTGTTTTGGTACGTTCCTCTTTAGCACCCTCCTTTCCTCTCTGCGTGGTCCAGGTCCTGCAGCCCGGTTGTGGAGGTCACACAGCAGAGCATTTTGGACAGGTGATATGTTTGCCCTGCTACAATTGCTTCTGTTCTCATTGCTTTCTCCTCTGAACCCTGCCTTCTTAGGAAGTCAGTTAATGAAAGTCCATATGAAAACCATAATGATGCCCTTGCTGCATCCATACTGCAGTGGGCAGCCCTGGAGAGCTTCTGATGTGTTGCTAGTCACAGATTCTGCCTCACTTTACAAAAGCCTCTGTTCCCCATCCAAGCAGAAAATACTGGACGAGCTGCAGTCTGTAGCGCAGGCTCAGGACTTGATTGAATTTGGCAAGGAAGGACAAATTTAAAAACTGGCAGTCTGATTTCTGCATAGCTCTTAACCAGCTTTATAACCAGTATTTCTCACACTGTTCTTTGTCTTCCAGGTGAGGTGGCTGCTGTTTGCAATGGGAAGATCAACCAGTCCCAGTCTACAGAGGAGGCAACAGAAGCTATGGAGGTACCAGAGAACGGTACCAGTGAGGCAGAGCCTGCTGAGGCCCAGCCTGGGCCCCTCACAGAGCATGTGTTCACAGATCCAGTCCCTGCACAGGCTCCTCTTAGGCAGAACGGGTAGGCTGTCTGTGGCCAGAGTGCCAATTCAGTTAATTTTCAGCTCTGTTTTCATGCTTTTTGCTGTGAGAACCAGCTTGACCTTATGATAACTTTTTTTCAGTTTTGTGCCCAAATTAGAGATGGGATGATAGGGAGAGAAAGAAATGAATGAAAATAAACATGGTTCAGCCTGCAGCAGACTGTCAGCTGTTTAAGTGCAAATATTTGATCTCTCAGTATGAATTCAGACCTGCTGTTCAGACAGTTCTTCCAAAGTGCATGTATAATTAATGTTCTTACTGAAGGAGCGTATTGATTTGTGTGTAAAAATGATAGTTGATTTATTCTAGTTGTAACTCTAGTGTGCAATAAAGATCATGAAGAAAGCATATTGACCACCCAGCAATTCTTGAGACAAATGAGTATGATGGGATGGCCTTAGGAGCAAGGTGGAAATCTTGGATAGAAATTGTTCCTAAGTGACCAAGTTTTTCTAAGCTGTTTCTGTTGAAATTGTAAATGAACAGAGAAAATACTGCTTATATAATAACACTGCCAAGCACTAAGTTAAGTGCTATAGATTTGAAGTATTTGCTGCTTGTATGGCTGGGAAAAAAGGAAGTTTTGCAAATAATGGATTTAGGAGTCAAGCAATTAAAAAACACTGAAGCGAAGGGAGCAGTTGTGTATGTAGGGGCCTTTATCTGCTTGGCAATGCCAGATTGTGGGTGTGGGTGGGTGTTCTGAGTGTTGCTGCTACTAAAGCCACTAACAAAGTTCTTTTGCGTCTTCAGGGAGAATGGGCAGCTGAAGACAGAGTCAAGCACAACACTGCCAGACCAGGAGTTGAATGGGGATGCTGCTGGAACTTGCACCAGCGCTGCCCCCACCATGTGGCTGGGAGCACAGAATGGATGGTATGTTCCCCTTGGGCTGGCAGATCTCTCTGTCACCTCTGTTCTCTGGGCTCCGCTTCTCATGTCCACACACTGTTTGTTCACTTCTGGTTTCTGTAGCAGGTTTTCATTGCTCATTGATGCTTTGAGCCCTCAGCTCATCATAGGCACAGAGTTTTAACCTCATTTTCTTACCCAACCTTCACCTTTGCTACCAGAATTAAAAACTCAAGCCTGGTCAGGCTGAAGGTGGGGGCCTTGCTGTTGGGCTTCCTCAGTTTGTCTTTTCTCACAGGCTTTATGTGCACTCGGCTGTATCCAACTGGAAGAAGTGTCTGCACTCGATAAAGCTGAAGGACTCTGTTCTGAGCCTAGTGTAAGTGTGCATGCCAGGGGACACTGAAGGAGAAGGTTCAGTGCCTCACCAATATTTTAGATACGGGTAGCAGCTCTTTGTCAGTCATCTTTTTCTTTGCTTTCTTCTAAGTGGTTTGTGAGGAAAGTTTCCCAAGGGTGTTTGTTATTGGAAAGCATCACACTGAGCCATTTTCCTGCCCACCTGCAGATGTGACCCAATCTAGTGAATAAGGTACTAAGCGAGATGGGCAGTATCAGGAGGAAATAAATGGGGAGGAAAAAGGCAAAATTTCACTGGGGTGTAAATTCAGTTGAATTTGTTGAAATTGGTGAAGTTCGTAGTGTGAAGGAGAATTTAAGGGAAAATTCATGGATGATCATACTGCCACAAAGGTCAGAGGTATGATCCTTGGCCCTTGCAGGATGTTCCTGCGAGTGCTAATCTGAATGGGAATTACAGAGAACATAAAGATGGTGTGCATGGATGTCACAAAGGCTTTGTTAGTCCCTCAATTCAGCAGACGTTTTGTGTTTGCTTTCCTGTGATTTCAGGCATGTGAAAGGGAGGGTTCTCGTGGCTCTGGCAGATGGAACACTAGCCATATTCCACCGGGGAGAAGGTAAGAATGAATGTTCTAAGAGAAAATCAAACTTGGCTGAAAGTGCAGCAATGGATTAAGGGCTATTCAGAGTTGAGAAGAAAAGGTGCTGGGTTGCCAGCATACAAAGGCCTGGGTAAAAGGCATCACTGTTGTACACATGTAGTCCTTATGCTAAATCATTCATAGCATACTTCAGCACCATTTCCTGACCTTTTCTAAACAAAGCCATGTGTCATGCATAGTGAATGCAACACTTGGAGGAATACATATGCTGTGCACTTGTTTGAGGCACACTTGGCAAGTTTAAGGCGTGTGGGGCGTATTGGTGTTCCTGCGCTCAGAGATCGCACAGGGAGCTCCACACGGCTCAGGCTCTACCTGAGCAGATTGTCTTGGCAGCTGGAAATAGGCCTGCTGCTTCCCAAAGAGTCACAGCGTGGTAGGGGTTGGAAGGGACCTCTAGAGATCACCTGGTGCGCCCTCCAGCTCCAGCAGGGGCACCCAAGCAGGTTGCCCAAGAACACATCCAGGCGAGTTTTGAAAGTCTCCAGAGAAGGTGACTCCACCACCTCTTTGGGCAGCTTGTTCCAGGACTCTGGCACCTCCACAGGAAAGAAGGTTTTTTCTACATTTAGGTGTTCTAGTTTGTGCCAGCTGCCTCTTGACCTATCACTGGGCACCACTGGGAAGAGTCTGGCCCCACCCTCTTGACACTCAGCCTTTAGATATTGATGAGCATTAATCAGATCCTGTCTCAGTCTTCTCCAGGCTAAACAGCCCCAGGGCTCTCAGCCTTTCCTTATCACAGAGATACTCCAGTCCCCTCGGCATCTTCATAGCCCCCAGTGGACTTTCTCCAGTTGTCTCTCTTGAACTGGGGAGCCCAGAACTGGACACAGTACTACAGATATGGTGTCACCAGAGCAGAGTAGAGGGGGAGGAGAATCTCCCTTGACCTGCTGGTCACACTCTTCTTAATGCACCCCAGCGATACCATTGGCCTTCTTGGGAACAAGAACACACTGCTTGCTCATGGTTAACTTGTCCACCAGGACTCCCAGGTCCTTCTCTTCAGAGTTGCTTTCCAGCACGTCAACCCTTCACCCCTACGGAGACATGGGGTTCTTCCTCCCCAGGTACAGGACCCTACACTTGCCCTTGTTGAACTTGGTGAGGTTCCTCTCTGCCCGACTTTCCAGCCTGTCCAGGATTCCCTGAATGGCAGTACAGCTCTGGTGTGTCAGCCACTCCTCCTGGTTTTGTGTCAGCAAACTGGCTGAGGGTCCACTCCATCCTTTCATCTAGGTCGTTGATGAATATGTTGAACAACACTGGACCCAGTACTGACCCTGGGGAACACCACGAGCTATAGGCCTCCAACTAGACTCTGCACTACTGATCACAACCCTTCGAGCACTGTTGCTCAGCCTGTTTTTGTTCCAGCTCACTGTCTGCTCATCTATCCCACACTTCCTGAGCTTGCCTGTGAGTGAGACAGTGTCAAAAGCCTTGTTGAAGTCATGGTAGGCAGCATCCACTCTTCCCTCATCTACCAGCTCGTCACACCATCACAGAAGGCTATCAGAGTAGTTGAGCTTGATTTCCCCTTGGTGAATCCATGCTGACTAGTCCCAATAGCCTTCTTTTCTTCCACATGCTTAAAGATGACCTCCAGAATGACCTGTTTCATCACCTTTCCAGGGGTGGATGGAGGTGAGGCTCACTGGCCTGGAATTTCCTGGGCTATCCTTCTTGTTCTTTTTGAAGACTGGAGTGACATTGTCTTTCCTCCAGTCCTCAGACACCTCTCCCATTCTCCATGACCTTCAGAGGTGATGGAGATTGGCTTAGCAACATCAGCCAGCTCTCTCAGCACTTGTAGATAGATCCCATCAGGGCCCATGGATTTGTGGGTGTTCAGTTGGCCTAACCCAATCCTCCATGACCAAGGAAGAGTCTTCCTTCTTCCAGACTTTCTATCTTACCCCCAGGGACTGGGATTCCTGAGGGCTGGCCTTAGCAGAGGCTAAGACTGAAGCAGAGAAGACATTCAGTAACTCTGCCTTCTCTATATTCTCCATCACCAGGGCTCCCATCTCATTCATTGGCAGGCCCACATTTTCCCTTGGCTTACTTTTGCTACTGGAGTCCTTGAAGAAGCCCTTCTTGTTGTCTTTTACATTATTTACCAGATTTAATTCCAGGAGGGCCTTAGCCTTCCTCACTGCACCCCTACATACTCTGTCAAGGTTCCTGTATTCCTCCCAAGTGACCAGTCCCTTTTGCCACATACTGTCCACTTCCTTTTTCCATTTGAGTTTTTCCAGAAGTATCCTTTTCATCCATGCAGGTCCCTTGCCTCCTCTACTTTTGTTTTTTAACTTACAGGAATGCACCAATATTGAGCTTGGAGGAAGTGGTGCTTGAATATTAACCAGCTCTCTCAGGACCTCCTACCCTCTGGAGTCCTAATCTGTGGGATTCCTCCAAGTAGGTCTTTGAAGAGGTCAAAAGAAGAGAGACAGAAGAGCGAAGCTGGACTCTGCCTAAGTCTTGAAATTGATCATTGCATCAGGCAGAGCTGGGATTCTCTGGCATTCTGGAAATCCCAAGCAGAGGCAGCCTTTGCATTACACTCAGTTGGTTTTTCTTGTTGTGAAAAAGAGATGTCTGAGTAGTCTGATGTGCCTTAATCTTGTCACTTCAAGATACTTTTTTCAAATTCTGTGTATCTTGTCCTCTTCACTGTTGTAGGTTTTGTTCCCTTATGACTTGAGCAGTTCCTGAGCTGTATTCATACCTGACAGCCTATGGGAATTTTCTGTGACTAATGTTTGCATATTAAGAACTTAGTTATTCATTGAGTAGCAGTTTTTCCAGCAAGCTGAAATGTGGACTTTTCTGGGTTTGTGTAATCTAAATTTTGATTCAGTGTTTGTCATGAGTTCAGTCCTGACCATTGACACATACAAATTATTCCCATCAGAAATACAAAAAAAATTGGAGGCCACCTGTCTGTGAAGGAAGCAGTATTTCCCTGGTTAGTTAGAAAACATGAGTGAGAGAAAAGAGATTGGTTCCTTATCCTGGATTTGACACTCTGGGGAAATGATGTTGTCCATCTGTGGAATGAGGAAGCCTCACCAAAAGGACTGTATGGTCCATGTCCTTTCAAGCTTCCACATGCTCTCGTTAGGCTTTTTTCTTCCCCTACTGCTTTTGTTGTACTTGTTAGAGAAGCCTGTTCACTTCATTACAATAAAAGGATACTTGAATTAGCTTGATTTGGAGAATTTTCAGGCCACCAAACTAAACTTCATTGTCATGTGTTTCATAAGTGTAACGCTGTGTCTGATGTAGGATTGGGAACTTCACTGAACTTCATGGGAAGTTCACAGAGATAATCAAAATGAGCATCTGAGCATTAGCTAAGCCTGTGTCTCTAAATATACCTGCAAAGGTCGATGTTTCTATTGTAACCTGGTACTTTATGAAGGAGATGCATCTTTCCACCTTTTCTTTCATCTTAGATGGTCAGTGGGATCTCAGTAATTACCACCTAATGGACCTCGGGCACACTCACCATTCCATCCGCTGCATGGCTGTTGTGTATGATAGAGTCTGGTGTGGGTACAAGAACAAAATCCATGTTATCCAACCTAAGACAATGCAGATTGAGGTAAGAGCAAACGTGTGTGCAGGCATGCACACGCCTGCGCTGGGTTTATTCCTATGGCTGTTTTCTGCAGCAGTGTATGGAAACACAGAACCTTTGTAGTCTCACTGCTGACTGTAGGACCTAAAATGTCCACCTGGGTCATGTTATGACCCCATCTGCCAGGGGGATATTTACTCCTTCCTCCCTTTGCAGAATATAAATCTTTAAACAAGTCTAAACTGAGCACTTTCTTTAGCTTTACTGGTGAGTCAATGAGGCCAGGTACTGTATGCCTGCTTTACAGCTGCCCTTCATGTACGGTCTAAGACTTCTCCCTCTGCAGGCACTGTGGTGCAGAGGAGGAGGACAGTTAGCAAGCCCCAGAGATCCCACTTACCTAAGAAAAAAATCGATGTTTAGAGCCTTCTGGCCCAAGTCCAATACAGTGATGTTGGTACAAATATATTTGAAAGTGCTTGCAATAATTCTAATCAAAAGGAGAAGAAGTGCTGAACCTGAAGTTCAGATCAGTGAGCCAGCAGTTTGATCTTTGGAATTTGTACTGGGGTCTGTGTGTTTTCCTTTTCTGCCAAGCACATTGAAAGCTTTTGTTTTCTAACTGTTCTTGCTCCTGAAGTGGTCTGCAAAGGCCACAACTTCTGAGGTCGGCTGGCAATAACAGAGTTTCTCCAAGAGCTTTGAAACCCAAACAAGTGATCTGAGTTGAGGAAAATGGAGTAAACATGTAGATAATGGCAGAGCTGTTGTGAACTCACATTGGCATTTCAGAAATCCTTTGACGCCCACCCTCGGCGGGAGAGTCAGGTGCGGCAGCTGGCATGGATTGGGGATGGAGTGTGGGTGTCCATCCGCCTGGACTCCACGCTGAGGCTTTACCATGCCCACAGCCATCAACATCTGCAAGACGTCGACATTGAGCCTTACGTCAGCAAGATGCTAGGTGAGGCAGTAGGGACTGTCAGGAAATGGTCTGTTGCTTCCTGAGGACAGAGAGAAATCAAAACTCCTGAGCAGGCCGTGTCCAGTGTCGTGACTGACTCTCCGCTTCTCTGGCGTGCTCTGCAGGCACTGGGAAGCTTGGCTTCTCCTTCGTGAGGATCACAGCCCTGCTCATTGCTGGCAACCGCCTCTGGGTGGGGACGGGGAACGGCGTCGTCATCTCCATCCCACTG